CTCGAGTTACCCGATACACGGTGCTCTTTACACGGATATATACCACGGTTCGGATAGTCGGTGAAATTTTCTAATATCGCTCGCCCTTGTACCGTTTGCAGAGCACTCGTCGGTGCTCATCTCGACGCGGATTATCTTGCAACCCACTCTTTCCCAGAGTCGCGGGTGCGCGGTTTTTCACGCCGATCACCCGACTCCATCAACGCTGACCCAGTTCACCAACTCGTGGAACGCGAAGCGGAACGCGGAGGGCAATCCGATCGGCTCGGTCGCTAAGGTCGGCTAAGGTCGTGACCATGAAATCCCTCTTGAATCGCAACCGAACGGGACACGCGGGATCGGTGACGTAACAACGAATCGCGTAACCCCTTCACGAATAAAATGACACCTCGTCCGTGTTCTCGGGCGAAACAGCCGCGAGGCAGGATGTCCGTTCAAAGATCGCCGATTAAAAATACGGTGGGGGTTCGCGAGTAGACGGTAGACGGCCCTGCGATACTGCTAATTATAACTCGGCAACGAAACCACCGCGTTGACTCGCACGAGCGATACGCGCGGGACTGGCGCATATGCCGTGGATACAATCGTAACCCGGTGCATATTAGCGACGTGTCGCAAAACGGGCAAAGCGCCGTTTTAAAATGGCACGTTTTCAAAAACACTGGCTTCGCTTTTGACGGTTTTACGCGCGACTACTTCCGCTCTTTCTTCTATCCGCGTTCGCCAACGCTAATTAGCGAACTCGACTTTTAATCCAAGGTGTTTAATTAATGTGTCTTTTTAACAACGACGAACGTTAACGCGATAATCGTTGTAAATATTTGTACGGTTGCAAAAATCTTCGAGATTCTGTTTTATCGTAATTTTTCGTATAATTTTCCAAGACTTTGCACAAGAGCTGATATTCTTCCAATAAGGTAAGGAAGAGACAATATCGGTAAATAATTATTTTTCTATGAATTATAAGAATATTGGAATAAATAGACGGTTTACGGGATGAATTGACAAAAAAATGTATGACCATTTATCGTCGAATCTTTTGGTTGAAAGAATAAGTTTAAAATATTTGTTATAAGGTTATGTTGACACTTGAACGAAAAAACAAATAGGCCATCGTATCTCGAGGGCAGGCGAGATACTCGCTCATATCGGAAACATTCATCGCGTACTCTCGAAACGTGCGCGATATGATCTTTAGATGCAAGTCATGGCTACGTATCATGTGATATAGCGACACGTTCCTTTTATAAAGACACGTCGCGTCATCGTTGTCATTTCCTATCCGAGATACTTATCGAGCGCCAAGTAGTAAAAGCATCTCTCTTTTAAAAAGTAAACGTGTAAAATTGCGTGCAAACGTTTTTGAAACGCGTTCTCGACGCGTGCATGAAAGAAAACGCCGCCGACAGTTCCTCTTTACGACTTACTGGTAGTCAAGCGAGTCGTAGAATTCAAAGTTTCGCGAGTCCCTCTTGAGACGCGTGCCAGCCCATTCTTGGAAAGCTTCGGTTGCGAAATATCGTCGTTCCCCGGTAGTACGATCGCTCGTCGGGTAGTGGTTTATTACTGGTAGTGGTTTGATGGACGGAAACAGGGAGAGGAGGCGACTTTTCCACCCCTCGGATGGGTGGCGAGCACTCGAGAGACTTCATCTTCGAGGAGTGCTCCTTTGGCAGAGAGACAAGAGCGCGAGATAACCGAGTAGCACCGGCGCTATCGCGATGCAAACGATGTAACGCGTTATGGAGTATCGACCTGTTGGCACCCCTGCCTCTGCAGCTGCGGTGCGTCTCTATCTTTAGCTCGGACCGGCCCATACCATGGGACTCTCCCATAACCATGGTGGCTGCCCTCCCCCTTCGTCGCTCCTTTACTTTTTCTTTCCTTCTGTCATAACGTGTTCCTCGATATTCGGAGCGCGCTCATCAGCTTGGCTTTTGTATAGAGACTAGACCTCTGATGTCTTTTCATCGCGAAAGACTTTGTCGAGAATCTCGCTCGCTGAAGACGCTGATTACTTTCTTCTTTTTTCCAAGATGGATCCTTGCCACGAATTAATCGAACGAATCCGTCTCGAGCATCGCGACGTCTCCGAGACTGAATTAGCCTCGAGCGATTCGAGAAGAAAACGCTTTCGATTCGCTAGACCGGTTCTCGGCCGAGAGACACCTGTCGCGAACTCGACCGCGCTCGAAAAGAGACGAGTAACTCGCCGCGGAACAAAGAGGGAAATGGAACGAACATTGACGAGAGACGAAGACCGATCGCTCCACTGTTCGATCGACGCAGTCATTCCAATTCTTCTTTTCTTTTTATTAATTACGATGTTCCTCCATCGACGTATCTTTACAAGGAGCTCGGATAAGTATTCATAATGGTGAAAAATAATTAGATGTAATTGCACGTTGCCTGTAAATCGCAAGTCCATTTAGAATCTTACAATTTAAAGTTTGTTGAATTGAAATTGATGATATGATTGAAATGTTGAACAAAGGCACTTGAGGCAGTTGGCAGAAAAAAGAAGAAAAAAAAGAATCTTGCCTCCCTTATCCTCTCTTTCGTCATTTTCAAAGAAAACGCTAGTCACATCGTGACATAATCGATAGAAGCTTTTTCTTTCTGTATCATGAGTGTATCATGATACAGAATCTTTATTTATCTATCTATCTTGTTATCTTTATGATACATATTTTCACCTTCTCGTTTCAGTACACTGCAATTCACTTCATTCAATTCGTGAAGTAAAGTCATTAATAGTCGATATATTGACTACGAGGAAATAATTTGTTCGAAGTAGTAATCGTCTTGCCAAGTCTCTATATACCTGTCCGTTCGCGCATCCAACTCGTTTCCTTTCTCTCTTTTCTCCTCGAATGGACCACCGTGTCGTGTGTTTGCTTTTACTGGTTCTTGTATGCGTCACGGACAATAGATCGACTCTTTCTTCGATAAAGGCGACATATCAAACCCACGGGTTTCTCCGTGGTGAATGGAGACCACAGGATCTATTCCACGAGAAACTCTAAGCTGGAACTCGTTGGTGTACAATATAACGAGAATTCGTAATTTTCCTTTTCGTAGTAGATAGATTTGTGCAACGTAGAAACGCGGTTCGTCCAATCCCTTGTAGCGACGTGAACTGACCTGGGGTTCCTTAATGAAGTTACGTCCCCTTCTGTCATCGTCATACTTCATCGTAAGAAGGTCTGACATGAGCCATTTGGTTCGATAATAATTCCCGGCGAAATTGTAACATAGCATAAAATTTCTCTTTTTCTGAAGTCTTATTATTGCTCGAACATCAAGGAATACCGATCGAAATTGCCTCGTCTCCTTCGTTCAATGAAAAATCACCATCGAAAACCGATAAATCTCATTTACCTGGCAATGCAACAACGAGGCACTACGATGATTATTTGTTCCTTCGCAACGAGCGAACAATCACGACCTAGTCCTGATTAAAATTCATAGCGTTGAATGTATTTTTTCTTTACAAAAATAGATATGTTCTATATTGTGATGTATTTTAAAATTAATAGAAATTTTTTAAAAAACATAGAATTTTTGCCTGAAGGAATCTGTTTTTATTATTGTAAAAAAAAATCTGAATCGATCAACGGGAAAAAATTTATAGTAGATCACGCGCGCAAAAAAGTATAATCGATTAAAATAATCTTTGATAGTTTATAAATTTATGATATATTTTAATTGTCGTTAATTTACGATCACTTCGCGTAGTTGCATTATATTTTCATTTAACATAAATATATAACATAGCATACATATATATGTATACATATGTATACATATATATACAATATACGGTACAATATACAATATATCGTACGATCAATGCAAGTTCGAAATAACTTAACCTCGAAAAGAATAATCCTTTCTGATAAAATTATCTTTCTGCTGATACATGATATTAACTGTATCTACCTGTATCCATCGTTATCAGGATTATCGATAATATTTTTACTCTTGACAAATAATCGTGTTATCTTTATATTTGAATCGCATTTAATCATATTTAGAATTGAATCGAGATCGGAGAATCGATCGGTTTCTATATTTCTGCAAAAGTTTTTTTTAAACAGGATGAGACTCAAGTTCTTAGATTAATTGACAATAATATTGACAGTCTAAAAAGTTATGCTTTTGTATACGTAATTCCTTCGTGGTGTACCGATGATATGAACGATAGTCGAATACATGATTATCGTGGTAACAGGAAACATCGGGTGTGTCATGATAATGTCTCTATGCGAATTTTTATTTTATTCATAATTTTATATAATGTATTCTTTTAATCAATTATTTTTGTATAAAAAAATATCAAAATAAGAAATTGTTATCCACTTCATATTCTGTATATATTATAATATGATTATGTGATGTATTTATGTAAATATTAATTGACAAGTTATACAAACGAATAAGAGAAAGTAAATAGATTTATATATAAATATTTTATTCTATTTGCTATTGCTTGTATATTTACATCGTTTCTATGTATTATGTAACGCTTAAATATTTCATGTTATTCATTATACTAAGGAACCATGAAGAGAATACTATCTTTTCGCAAAAGATATTTCTTATTCGTGTTCATTTGTTTTCTCTTTCAAGAATAATACTTAGTCGTTTCGAATCTGTTTTTATAAGAAATATCGAATGAAAAATAAATCGTGTAATCGAATAAAAGATATAATTGTAATCTGAATAATGTATACCTATCTAGAGTAATAATTCGGCGCCATATAGATATGTTAGTATGACATAAACACGACCAAACTAATACGTATTTAAAAACTACGATTAAGAAAAAAATAAATTTTTTTCGAAATAATTTTTATTATATAATATTTGATTCAAAAAGATTTGTGATGTTCTTTAGATATAATTCTTTTTATTTTTCTTATTTTATATTTATCTATGTATAAATGTCAATTTAAATGAAAGAAGAATGATTTATAGTTAAAGGTCAAAAAACTCACCGGCAATAACTGTATCCTGAAGATTATATTTACTAGAGCCTGTTTTTCCGACTTTTGGAAAATCCTTAAGTTTTCGACCGCTAAGCTTGAGCTCACCACTTAAGTGTGCTTCTTCCAGGATTCGCTCAAGACTTCTAGTGAGCTGCTTTTGTATGTGGCCGCTCATGTTCGACGCGACCATCGCCATATTACATTTTTCGGGCACACGCGGAAGCACAACAGCGAGTATCTTCCCTGGCGTATCAGCCACTCGTCTTTTAGACGACGAGGTAAGATGTTATAAAAAAAATTAACACCCACCAACTACTCCCGATACTTGCTTCTGCGCTACTGATCACAATTTAGTAAAGCGCATGGATGCAAACGATTATAGCGCCCCCATTTAGACGCCATTTTAAAAACAACATTCGATTTTATTCGAGTATCGCAATTGCAATCGATTTCTATAATTTCATTTAAAATATTCTTTTTTTGATGCATAAAATATTTTTAATTTCAATAAAACTAAAGTAAATGCTCATAGGAAATAAAATATTTGAGAAATCGAAAAAATACAATTGATTCAAAATTAAAATTTGATAAAATCAAGTCAGGATTCTGTTGTTTCTATAAAAAAAAAAAAAAAAAAAAAAAA